ATACAGTAGAACCTCGATTATCCGCCCTAATTGGGGACTGGGGTTGGTCGGATAATTGAAAAGTCGGATAACCGAAAAGTATGAAAAAATCCATTATTAGTGTAGTATATTATTATATCCCATGTAATTAGTATATTAGTATATCGCTATTAACCTATTTTGCGTTGAATTTTCATCGATGTTAAGCCTAACAAAAATTTTTTAAAATAATAATCGTCGCTATTGTAGCGCCACATCACTAGCGGACATTTGAAATTTGCCGACTAGGACGGTCGGTTGATCGGGGGGCGGATAATCGAGGTTCTACTGTAGTTCTTTGTTTCGTATAACACGGATTCGTATAACAGGCAATTTTTTGGAACGTAACTACTGTGTTATATGGGGTTACCTGTATTCAAAAAAATATTGTTTTATTTGAACCTTAAATTAATGTTAAAATGCAAATATTTATATAAATAAATGAATTTTTAAAACTGATCATTTATATGTTAAAGTATGTTTGAAATCAAGTGAATGGCTTATTTAATTTTCTATCTTCAGCTAAGATACACAACACATGTTGAAAGTGAATTAATTAAAATTAAGTTAATTGTATTCATTAGACTTATGGATATATTTTATGATTATTTAAAGACCAGGCAAGATTTTTCTCATTTGTCAAATTTAGGTTACCAACTCAAACATCAATTATCTCCATAACAGATGTAAATTACTACCTCTGATAAAGCCTAAAAATCCTAAGATATTTAGTTAGACCGGCATTCTGCAAAAATATGGCAAAAGAAAGTTGAAAATGATATGTATTACAGAATGGTTTGTTTCTGTTACCTTTTATCATTTAATTTCATTGAGAAAAATCATTCATATTAAAATGTAACTATAAAATACACATTTTTATTCTTAAAACTCTTGTACATATTCTGTAATAAATGATGTACAAAAGTGAATTTAATCATAAATATAAAAACAACAAAGATATAAAAATAGACTTAAAAAGTGATACCATATAAATTTTATATTCATAGTTTTTAATCTTAAATGGCTATGGCCATCTGTTCTCCCCCCATATATTTTAAGTAGCATCAGTCTACAATACTTCAGATAATTGGGTTTTTACTTTATCATCAAAAGTACTTGCCAAGAATATGCAATTTATTTTAACAAATTGTTATTTTCCTTGTGTTTTAAAGACTTTTAACACTGAAAGACAGTTCTGAAATGCACATCAGCAAATATTAATACATCATAATACAATAAAACAATCTTATGCTTTTATATTAAGATTTTATTCTAAAACTGCAAAAGGTTTAAAGTATTATGACACAGAAAATTATGCAGTGTTTTTTTTTTTCTCTTTATGTAATCAAATTATGCTGGTATTTTTGTCAACAACAGCATGAAATTGTATCATTGACAGTAGGAGTGCTGCTTTATTTCTTTTGGAACAAATGACACCATTGTAAACATTGTAGACCATGTTATAATGAAAAGTATACAAAATACGAAGTTTTTAGTTTTGCAGTTATAAAAACCACTATGCTAGTCTTTACGAGTCACGGGAAATAAATTGACATAATTTTGAACAATGCTGTTTTCAGTATATAAAACACGTGTGACCCAGTTGCACCAAATAAACATTAAAAAACACAATTGTCAACTAAATACATCTACTTTGACTTCCACTAAATAGTTAAACAAAGCTAAATAACAACAACTATTTAGCTTGTTTTGCAAATGTGTTAAGTGTGGCAAATTGGTCATTAGCATGCTTCCAGTGTTAATGAAAATAAAACTTTCAGTTTATCTGGTAATATAAAAGTTAAACAAACATCAAGTTTTCTAGAAAAATAATTCATATGATCTTGATTAAAGCATTGTGAAATATGAAAAAAATAATACAGGTAACCCCCATATAACACGGGAGTTATGTTCCAAAAAATTGCCATGTTATGCGAATCCGTGTTATACGAAACAAAGAACTAGTGCGAAAAGGGGGTTTAGGTTCCAAAAATTAAAAAACATGCTGTTAAATCGGATTTATTATTCATTTTTTTCATAGGTAAAATATTTATTATTTAAGTAAATATTTTACCAGAAGATTATTCATCCTGTATGATGATCTCAGCATGAGCATCATCAACTGGTAACAGTTTTTGGGCGCATTTTGTTAATAGCAGTCACTCTGCAACAAGAGTGCACTGCTGTTTGTAGGCATTTAGGAACAAGGGTGAAAGAAAGATGCGGTGCCCGCACTATCAATAGTATCGTGATGGAAGAATCTATAATTCTAAAATGAGCTTTTAAAGGCAAAAGAAGGGTCCCAATTGTAAAATTTAACCATTAAATGGATTATTGTTGAAAGAGTATTCAAAGTAGCCACGAAAACAATTAGAATGCTTGCGTGGAAATATAAAAAGAACGCACTCTTTATTACATTTCATGTTGTATGAGGGTTTTACCCAATTCCTGAATTGTGTTAGAGTGAACCCATGATATAGAAGTGCCGTGTTATACGGGGGTTACCTGTACTTGCTTAAATATACTTATTTATAAATAAATAAACTTTTAATCTATTAAAATTTTCAGTAGTATTGAATGTTAAGTATTGTAAAATGTTATTTTTTATAGGGACATTTTTGCGTGGTCTTCAAACAACAGCTACTTATGATCCCAAAACTCAAGAATTTATTTTAAATACTCCCACTTTATCATCCATAAAATGGTGGCCAGGAAGTTGTAAGTGTATTTCAATTGTTTATGTGATTTTTGAAAATTAAATTTAATCATCATTGAAAATTTATATCAAAGTGGGAAAAACTGCAAATCATGCTATTGTTTTGGCACAACTCTACATCAAGGGAAAATGCTATGGAATACATCCATTTATGGTGCAGATTCGAAACATGGAAGATCATCAACCACTTCCTGGTAAGTTTTATAAATATTTATATATTTTATACTTGTACAAAGAATTTTTATGACATTAGAATTATTATTTGAAAGGAATAACTGTTGGAGAAATAGGACCAAAAATGGGAATGAGAGCATCTGATAATGGGTTTTTAAAGTTGGATAATGTACGAATACCTTATGAGAATATGTTTATGAAAAATGCTCAGGTATGTAAAATTTTATACTGATATTATTTTTATTAAGACTTTGTTCAGTATATTAATTTATTACTTAAAGGTTACGAGAGATGGTGAATATATTAAACCCAAAAGTGATAAATTGAATTATGGAACTATGGTTTTTGTACGAGTTTTAATAACAGACATGGTAGCTTTCAATTTAGCTAGAGCTTGCACTATTGCAACACGATATAGTGCTGTTAGAAGACAGTCTGAAATTATTGCTGGGTAAGAAATTTAATCTAATTATGTAATTATTAATAGTAATGTATATGAATTATAAAAAAAATTGTTAATGAAAATATATTTTTGTAGGAAAGGAGAAGTTCAAATTCTGGACTATCAAGCACAACAGTATAAACTTCTGCCTTTAATTGCATTAACTCATGCAATCAAAGCAACTTTTCTTTCCTTAATGCAAACTTACAAAGTAGCAAGTCAGAATTTGGAAAAAGGTGATTTGGGAAACTTGCCAGAGGTAAATTGAATTTGTTTTTTTTTTTTAATATCTTGATAAAAAGAGTTAAATAAAAATGAAAAAATTAGTTATTCAGATATTTGACAGTTAATGTGTAAAGTGTTTGAAATTATTATATAGCATGTCAACAAAATCATTGCATTGTACTATATCTTGTTTATGTAGTATATTAGCTAAATACAAGTGCATAAAAATATAGTTACACAATAATGGAATATTCAATGAAGTAGTTGATATGCACCCCTGGCTGCTGCATTTCATTGGGCCAAATCTTATCTCAGTTCCTATGAACAATAGTAAGATTTAGTTAGTTATTAATTACAATGTTATAGAATGTCTCCAGATTATTAAAAAAAATATTTCTGGTCAAAAAAATTTTCAAAGGAGAAAGAGAAGCAGCTTGACATTGTCACAAAATAGAGCAGAGAAACTGTATCAAGAATATCTTCATGGCTTCACAAACTCAAGGCAGTCACCTATGTATATTTAATAACGTCTGGTCCCAATTAGTCTAAATTTTCAATGCTTCACTGTATTAAGATCATTTTAAAATGTTCAATATACTTTCTTCAATATTGTATTCTTGTTTAGGCTTTGGATTTTCTATATCAAATGGAAAAATTGTGGTTGTTTATATGGAAGCTTTTGTTTGGAGCTTGCAGTTCCAAGCTGTAAAAATGAAATGAAGCACATTAAAAATGAATAGATTTAAGTAGCAGACAACCCACATCATAGCATACATAAAACAGTTTCTGTCTTACAAATCAGGAATTTCTTTTGATGTCATTTTTTCATCCTTGTAATATTGATATTTTATTCATTTCTTTGAAACAATATTGTAAATGTGTATGTGAACATAAGAGTGAAAACATTATAGCTTCAATTGATATTAAATTTTTTCAGCTTTATATATGTGAATTTTGAAATAGAATATTGTAAATGGTATAAGCAAGATAAATTCTGTATATTTCAAATTTTAAAATAATGTTAAGCATTACAATTCTCGAGAAAAAAAAAATACAAATTTCTAAACACATCCATATTATATTAATTACATCTCTATGTAAAAATTTAATATCTCTAATGAAATTCTAAAGGATTTAAATTATTCAATTTAAATAATTGAGAATCAGCAATATTTTGCTGATTTTTTTTTTAAGCTATTTAGAAATTGACAGTTCATATAATCAGAACAGTTTCTAGATTAGGCTTTTCATACTAAAATTCTAAGTTTCTATAAAACAGGGCTGTGGAGTCTGTAGATTTTTACATGTCTCCGACTCTGACTTTTCCTTACCATCCATCTCTGACCAGGTCGGACTTGTTAACAAAGTAAACCCGAAAATTCTGACATCATCATATGAGCGCAGAATGTAAGCTTCAATAAATATAGTTCTAATAAAGATAGAATATAGAAAGCTTTTTATTCCAAAGCTAAAAGACTCCTTTAAGTATTGACATAGTCAATATATAAATATTTTTTTGATAATTTTTACTTTCCTTGCTGTTATATATAACAGAAGAAAAGTGTAGTGATCAGTCAAAAAATGATCCCAGTCCAAATGTTTACAATTTTGGACTTGGGACACCTCGAAATGTCGAGATATGCAAAGATTCAGGTTTTTTTCTATATGTATGAATGTTAGACTGTTTGGGGGGGCATGATTTTGAACCGGAGTGAGATGGTTTAACACAGGAATTATTAAGCTTCACAATGGCTGAACTAAATCATTTGGTACACATTCTAATATCCATGCATACAGAAAAAACCTCGAATGTTTTTGCACTTCTCTACATCTGAAGGCTTCCCAAGTCCAAAAGAGTAAAAATCTGGGAAAGTCATTTTTTTGACTGATCGTCATTTTTTTCCTTTGTTATAAGCCTATACTGTATAACAGTCAGGAAAGTAATAACGACGATTCTGATTATTTTAACAAAATACGAGGCGTGTCCGGAAAGTAAGTACTGTTTTGGAAAAACTCACATAAAAAATCTTTTTTCAAAACAAAATTTATTTTTACATGAAAGAGCATGTTGGAAACTATTTTTCTACATAGTTACCACCATTGTTCAGACATTCGTCATATCGGGAAACCAACTTGTCTATATCCTCTTCAAAGAAAGATGCCGCCAGTGAAGACAGCCACTGCTGAACATTGATTTGTGACAATCTCATGCAAAACAGTTTTTGAAATTTGTGGAAACTCATCACAAAGCAATCTTATTGTGAACCGTCTGTTTTCAAGAGTTTTCTCATTCACTTTTGCAACCAAACCATCATTGATAACAGAAGGCTGGCCACTCCGTGCTTCGTCATGAACATTGGTGCATCCAGCATTGAATTGTCGAACCCACTTTCTCACTATTCCATCACTCATTATATTTTCACCATAAATCTCTACAAGTTGACAATGAATTTCAACTGGCTTAACATTCATTGCGTTCAAAAACCGTATTACAGAACGCACTTCGTAGTCGGCGGGATCGGCAATTGTCTTAAAATATTTTGAACGCTCACTAACACATGGAAAACAACACAATCTGGCTCTAATGGGTGTCAATGGACTGACAATCAACCAGAGACACGTGTATGCAGGTGCTGAACTGAGATACTACCACTGCGGTGGCAGTAAAATGAAACAGTACTTCTTTCCGAACACGCCTCGTAATTAATTTCTTAAAATTGTTTTAAACATTAAAATTTGACAATCTACTGAATATATAAATTCACATTTATTGACTTGTTTGATGATGTCAATGGTATTTGAATAAAAATAGTACATACATTCGTACACAAACAAATTAATTTAATAAAAATGTTGTACATAATATATGAGTATAATGGGTAATAAGAAATATATTTGTATACTTATATATTCTTGACTTAGTTTAATGTAACATTTAGATTGGTAAAGAAAAAGACTGCTTATTTTGCCATGTTGATTAATTTATTATTTTTCATATTTGTTATAAACTGAATTACTCCTTACAAAAAGAATCACTTCTATTAAGTCAGCATTCACTGAAGCTCTTAAATCATATTTAATAATTTTAAGAGTGGAAAATAAACACTCTACTGAAACTTGGTTGGTGGCAATTCTGTGACAATCAATGCTTGATAATGTCTGGATAGTGCAGTATCTCCGTTTTAACATCTAAACTTGAAGAGTGGTCAAATGTGATTTATTTTTTCCAGTAAAAATCATCTTCAAATTTTATAAGATTTCCTTTTCTGTCTGTACTCATATTAGAACTTAAGCTTAATTTTGAGGGTGGAGATGAGTTTTATAAAAAAAAAACTAGCAGATGTTGCTTGGGCAAAAAGTAATGATAACGAACAATCTTATCCATTTTTACTGGGTGCAAGAATTAGGTCCCCCCTCTTTCAAGACTAATTAGAGAATTTTCAGATGGATCTAAAAGTATGTTTGATTTTCTGCAAAAATGCAAAAAATCGCATCTAAAATAGTACAGTAGAACCAGAGTTATTCAGGGTAATCCTTAACCTTCTCCCTCTCCCCCCACAAGAGGAATTTCAAAAAATTCCTTCTTAGTGTACATTCTTATGATGTATCCTAACTGTGTACCAAATTTCAACTTTCAACTCCTAACTGTTTGAACTCTGAGATGATTATTATGTTGGGTTTAGGGGTTATACTCAGTTGACACCAGTGGCTGAGTACTATGCCAGACCAGAGTCAAGGCATAGCAACCAAAACAAAACCAAAAAAAAAATTAAGTGTGTGTCTGTATTTAGGAATGTTCTAACAATTATTATTATTATGAACCCATCTCGATTATATTATAAGATTGTGAATGTGAATAACGAGTAAAATATTCATTAAGTCTGACACACTGGAGATATGACACAACCCCCTTCTATGTCTCTACCCTGTCAACCTTTAATTAAGAACCAAAATTTAATAGAATTAATGCCCTTTATACACATGCTACCATGCCAAATTTCATTTATTAAACTTTACTCATTCTGAGATATTATTTAATATTTCAGAACAGAATAAAGAAATTAAACAAATTAGATGCCAATATGAGCATGCAAATTTTTTCCTTTATTTGACATTTTTTGGGTTTGACAGATCTCCAAACATAGATTTGCAAAAAATTGAGGGTCAAATGTGACACAACTCAAATACTTTTCTGTTTTTTATATATATAAGAAGTTGGGAAAATAAAAAGGAGTCAGGGGGATTTTTGATGACTCCAACTCCACAGCTCTGCTATAAAATTATAATTTCATAGAAAAAAATGCAAACAAAAATTAGAAGTATTTTCAAAAATTATATATTGACTTATTTTTACTGATTGTGATATGTAAAAATTTTTAATATAGAATGACTCACTCAAAATCAAAGTTAAAAAAAATTCCATTTACTTAAATACTGCAGTCTGTTAAACTTACATTTGCATTGGAGTTGTATAATATTACTATATTCATATATACATAAATAATTTGAAGCAGTGAATATAGTAAATCATTGCTGTTTGTCAAGTTAATAATCAATATGAGCACACAAGAATGAATGTTATAATCACAAGGACATATTTTTCGGTTTGTTTAAATTACAGCTAACTGAATTAATGATATAATGTAATCGGTTAATAAATGTCTCATATCAAAATGTGATTCCATTTCCATCAGTATTGTTTTGCTGTAATAATGGTCAAAGTTCATATTATTTGATATTTCACAAATATATTTTAATCTAAAAATAAAAATGAATGGATTTCATATAGTTTAAGGTGTACAAATCTATCAAAATTATCAGCAATTACTAAATTGAGTTGTTTTAAGATTTCCCTGGATTAAATTCAAAAAATTCTCTAAAAACTTTTATTAAAAAAATTAGATCATCAAAATAATCCAAATAAAACTGTAGTAGTGTTTTTAGTTCTAATATTGATATTAATGATGATTAAGATATATGAAAACTGACAGATTTTTAAATGAGTTATACATGTAAAATATAATTTGGATTTAAAATATTTTTCAAATTATGGCATTTTAAATTTGATATGCAAATCGAACAAGAACCAAATATTCAAATTTCCTACTGGACATTATAAAATTTACATGTTATTCAGTTCTTAAAATTATATAAAAGTACTAGCAAATGAGCCTGGCATTGCTTGGGCAAACGATTTGGATGATTTGGTAAATATTGTACATTTGGAAATTAAGTTATTACTATTAAAAACAAAAAAAAAATGCATATAAAATAGTACATTAGAAGCCATTCCTCAGGTTAAGCCTTAATCCTCTCCCTCTTCTCCCTGCAGGGGAATTTCAAAAAATCGTTTCCTAGTTGCACTCTCATGACGTATCCTGTGTACCAAATTTCACCTCTAGGTTCAGCAGTTTGCTCTGGGCAATGATGAGTCAGTCAGGACATTAGTAATTTTATATATATATATAGAACCTATTAGTAATATTTTAAGACCAATTATATTTATAAAAATATTGCTAATAATTGTAATTTTATTTGATAAAATATTTAAGGTTAAATTGATCAGTAAAAAAAAATATTATGTTTTTATATGAGTTTGTAAAACAAAACATATGTTAAACATTTTCAGCTTCATGCCATATCTTCTGGTCTGAAGGCACTATGTTCTGATAAAGGCAGTCGAGGTATTGAAACGTGTCGTTTAGCATGTGGAGGACATGGATACTTATTAATTAGTGGATTGCCTCGTCTGTATTCTCTCACAGTAGCAGCATGCACTTACGAAGGAGAAAATACAGTACTCTATCTCCAGACAGCAAGGTGCATGATTGTTTTATCACTTGGTGTAAAAATTTAATGAAATTTTAATTATGTATGTATTTCCAGATTCTTATTAAAGTGTTTGAAACAAGGAAATTTATCACCAGATTCAAATTTTAATTATTTACTGAAGAAAGGTGGCGGAATAGTGACACCACTTTCTGCAGAACCTACTCTTAAAGAGCTACTCTCATTATATGAAGCAGTTGCCTACAGGTAAGATATTGTGAACTAATATTCTCTAATTAGGGGAGTGGTCTTGTTACCCCTGGTGTTGGTATAAATTTCTGTGAGGTGTGTTTGTCATCCAAAAGTTTTGTTTTTCTGAAATGAGTGAATGCAACATAAGTCTTTATCTAATAAACCAGAAATGAAATATTTTCATTAATCACATACTCCGAACCAATTAAGGTGTGCAGATAAAAAAACAAACATTTTCAAACTCCTTCCGAATTCTTCATCAGGTTTTGAAATGATTCCCTGATGGTTTTTTGTAACAGCTTTTGGAATAAAATTCGAACAAGCATTCAAATATGTTTGAAAAAATTATTAAAACCATGTTGCGCCTGCACAGAGTCACCCTGCTGGGACTCAACAAACAGCTAAGCAGCATTGCCAAAGGCCTTTGACAAAACCATTTCCTTTTTATAATTTAGGATATTGATGTAAAATCAGATTTAAAATGTGCACAGCCTCCAGCCATCTGAGGTGTTCCATGGGGTGCTGAAGCAAGGATGAGCTTAGTCTGGTTAAAGTCCGTCACGATGTCCGGATCTGTTGCATATGTAGAGGGGGCTGTGGTGGTTTTCACATGACGTATATCAGCAAGATATTCTTGTAATCTGATCCCCATGGAGCGCTTAGTTGACCCTATGTATACCAGGTCTCTATCGTATCTGTTGTCCCTTACGGGAACACTATATATGCCAGGGAGTCTGTTCGGGTTGGGAGGGTCTTTCCCATTATGTAGCATGTCAAAAATAGTTGGCACCTCCTGTAAGCGAGATACACCCAGCATTTCCTGGCAACTTTGCCACATAATGTTAAAGGTAATAGAGACCCATTCTACATCATCAGATTGGTTATCGTTCAGCAGGTCAACTATGGGGGGTGTGTCCAGAGTGCATTTGCTGATAACATTCTATCAGCCCATGTGTAACATTGTGATAATCATGTATGGCAGTTACGCACTTTAAAAATGCTAATTCGGCAGCAAGAGCCTAGGGATTGGAAGAATGTGTAAAGGCACTTCTGATTAAAAGACCTTGTACACCACAATCTTGTAAGAAAATGGATCACATGACCCCACTGGTATGTACAATGACACGGAATCCGGGTATACAATATACCTGATATTCCTTCAGGACCTAGAAATATTTTCTAGGTCCTGAAGGAATATCAGAAAATGTAAAACCTTATGAAAATCAACCTTCTAACACAGATGTTTGAGTTATATTTTTAAGATTATACAGTAAGACTCCGCTTAATTTTGCCTTGCTTAACACTGATTCGATATAATGCTGCCTTCTTGAAGCCTTAAAAAAAAAATAGCTCAAAATTTATAATGATTTAAATTATCATAGCATTTTATTTATTCGTACATAATATGATATTTACAAACACGAACCACTCAGAAAAAAGTGGCAAAAAGGTGTACTTTCTTTAAATCTATGTTTGTTTGGTGCAATTTTGGAAACTTAAATACTGCAGTCTGTTAAACTTACATTTGCATTGGAGTTGTATAATATTACTATATTCATATATACATAAATAATTTGAAGCAGTGAATATAGTAAATCATTGCTGTTTGTCAAGTTAATAATCAATATGAGCACACAAGAATGAATGTTATAATCACAAGGACATATTTTTCGGTTTGTTTAAATTACAGCTAACTGAATTAATGATATAATGTAATCGGTTAATAAATGTCTCATATCAAAATGTGATTCCATTTCCATCAGTATTGTTTTGCTGTAATAATGGTCAAAGTTCATATTATTTGATATTTCACAAATATATTTTAATCTAAAAATAAAAATGAATGGATTTCATATAGTTTAAGGTGTACAAATCTATCAAAATTATCAGCAATTACTAAATTGAGTTGTTTTAAGATTTCCCTGGATTAAATTCAAAAAATTCTCTAAAAACTTTTATTAAAAAAATTAGATCATCAAAATAATCCAAATAAAACTGTAGTAGTGTTTTTAGTTCTAATATTGATATTAATGATGATTAAGATATATGAAAACTGACAGATTTTTAAATGAGTTATACATGTAAAATATAATTTGGATTTAAAATATTTTTCAAATTATGGCATTTTAAATTTGATATGCAAATCGAACAAGAACCAAATATTCAAATTTCCTACTGGACATTATAAAATTTACATGTTATTCAGTTCTTAAAATTATATAAAAGTACTAGCAAATGAGCCTGGCATTGCTTGGGCAAACGATTTGGATGATTTGGTAAATATTGTACATTTGGAAATTAAGTTATTACTATTAAAAACAAAAAAAAAATGCATATAAAATAGTACATTAGAAGCCATTCCTCAGGTTAAGCCTTAATCCTCTCCCTCTTCTCCCTGCAGGGGAATTTCAAAAAATCGTTTCCTAGTTGCACTCTCATGACGTATCCTGTGTACCAAATTTCACCTCTAGGTTCAGCAGTTTGCTCTGGGCAATGATGAGTCAGTCAGGACATTAGTAATTTTATATATATATATATATAGAACCTATTAGTAATATTTTAAGACCAATTATATTTATAAAAATATTGCTAATAATTGTAATTTTATTTGATAAAATATTTAAGGTTAAATTGATCAGTAAAAAAAAATATTATGTTTTTATATGAGTTTGTAAAACAAAACATATGTTAAACATTTTCAGCTTCATGCCATATCTTCTGGTCTGAAGGCACTATGTTCTGATAAAGGCAGTCGAGGTATTGAAACGTGTCGTTTAGCATGTGGAGGACATGGATACTTATTAATTAGTGNGATGTTAAGCCTAACAAAAATTTTTTAAAATAATAATCGTCGCTATTGTAGCGCCACATCACTAGCGGACATTTGAAATTTGCCGACTAGGACGGTCGGTTGATCGGGGGGCGGATAATCGAGGTTCTACTGTAGTTCTTTGTTTCGTATAACACGGATTCGTATAACAGGCAATTTTTTGGAACGTAACTACTGTGTTATATGGGGTTACCTGTATTCAAAAAAATATTGTTTTATTTGAACCTTAAATTAATGTTAAAATGCAAATATTTATATAAATAAATGAATTTTTAAAACTGATCATTTATATGTTAAAGTATGTTTGAAATCAAGTGAATGGCTTATTTAATTTTCTATCTTCAGCTAAGATACACAACACATGTTGAAAGTGAATTAATTAAAATTAAGTTAATTGTATTCATTAGACTTATGGATATATTTTATGATTATTTAAAGACCAGGCAAGATTTTTCTCATTTGTCAAATTTAGGTTACCAACTCAAACATCAATTATCTCCATAACAGATGTAAATTACTACCTCTGATAAAGCCTAAAAATCCTAAGATATTTAGTTAGACCGGCATTCTGCAAAAATATGGCAAAAGAAAGTTGAAAATGATATGTATTACAGAATGGTTTGTTTCTGTTACCTTTTATCATTTAATTTCATTGAGAAAAATCATTCATATTAAAATGTAACTATAAAATACACATTTTTATTCTTAAAACTCTTGTACATATTCTGTAATAAATGATGTACAAAAGTGAATTTAATCATAAATATAAAAACAACAAAGATATAAAAATAGACTTAAAAAGTGATACCATATAAATTTTATATTCATAGTTTTTAATCTTAAATGGCTATGGCCATCTGTTCTCCCCCCATATATTTTAAGTAGCATCAGTCTACAATACTTCAGATAATTGGGTTTTTACTTTATCATCAAAAGTACTTGCCAAGAATATGCAATTTATTTTAACAAATTGTTATTTTCCTTGTGTTTTAAAGACTTTTAACACTGAAAGACAGTTCTGAAATGCACATCAGCAAATATTAATACATCATAATACAATAAAACAATCTTATGCTTTTATATTAAGATTTTATTCTAAAACTGCAAAAGGTTTAAAGTATTATGACACAGAAAATTATGCAGTGTTTTTTTTTTTCTCTTTATGTAATCAAATTATGCTGGTATTTTTGTCAACAACAGCATGAAATTGTATCATTGACAGTAGGAGTGCTGCTTTATTTCTTTTGGAACAAATGACACCATTGTAAACATTGTAGACCATGTTATAATGAAAAGTATACAAAATACGAAGTTTTTAGTTTTGCAGTTATAAAAACCACTATGCTAGTCTTTACGAGTCACGGGAAATAAATTGACATAATTTTGAACAATGCTGTTTTCAGTATATAAAACACGTGTGACCCAGTTGCACCAAATAAACATTAAAAAACACAATTGTCAACTAAATACATCTACTTTGACTTCCACTAAATAGTTAAACAAAGCTAAATAACAACAACTATTTAGCTTGTTTTGCAAATGTGTTAAGTGTGGCAAATTGGTCATTAGCATGCTTCCAGTGTTAATGAAAATAAAACTTTCAGTTTATCTGGTAATATAAAAGTTAAACAAACATCAAGTTTTCTAGAAAAATAATTCATATGATCTTGATTAAAGCATTGTGAAATATGAAAAAAATAATACAGGTAACCCCCATATAACACGGGAGTTATGTTCCAAAAAATTGCCATGTTATGCGAATCCGTGTTATACGAAACAAAGAACTAGTGCGAAAAGGGGGTTTAGGTTCCAAAAATTAAAAAACATGCTGTTAAATCGGATTTATTATTCATTTTTTTCATAGGTAAAATATTTATTATTTAAGTAAATATTTTACCAGAAGATTATTCATCCTGTATGATGATCTCAGCATGAGCATCATCAACTGGTAACAGTTTTTGGGCGCATTTTGTTAATAGCAGTCACTCTGCAACAAGAGTGCACTGCTGTTTGTAGGCATTTAGGAACAAGGGTGAAAGAAAGATGCGGTGCCCGCACTATCAATAGTATCGTGATGGAAGAATCTATAATTCTAAAATGAGCTTTTAAAGGCAAAAGAAGGGTCCCAATTGTAAAATTTAACCATTAAATGGATTATTGTTGAAAGAGTATTCAAAGTAGCCACGAAAACAATTAGAATGCTTGCGTGGAAATATAAAAAGAACGCACTCTTTATTACATTTCATGTTGTATGAGGGTTTTACCCAATTCCTGAATTGTGTTAGAGTGAACCCATGATATAGAAGTGCCGTGTTATACGGGGGTTACCTGTACTTGCTTAAATATACTTATTTATAAATAAATAAACTTTTAATCTATTAAAATTTTCAGTAGTATTGAATGTTAAGTATTGTAAAATGTTATTTTTTATAGGGACATTTTTGCGTGGTCTTCAAACAACAGCTACTTATGATCCCAAAACTCAAGAATTTATTTTAAATACTCCCACTTTATCATCCATAAAATGGTGGCCAGGAAGTTGTAAGTGTATTTCAATTGTTTATGTGATTTTTGAAAATTAAATTTAATCATCATTGAAAATTTATATCAAAGTGGGAAAAACTGCAAATCATGCTATTGTTTTGGCACAACTCTACATCAAGGGAAAATGCTATGGAATACATCCATTTATGGTGCAGATTCGAAACATGGAAGATCATCAACCACTTCCTGGTAAGTTTTATAAATATTTATATATTTTATACTTGTACAAAGAATTTTTATGACATTAGAATTATTATTTGAAAGGAATAACTGTTGGAGAAATAGGACCAAAAATGGGAATGAGAGCATCTGATAATGGGTTTTTAAAGTTGGATAATGTACGAATACCTTATGAGAATATGTTTATGAAAAATGCTCAGGTATGTAAAATTTTATACTGATATTATTTTTATTAAGACTTTGTTCAGTATATTAATTTATTACTTAAAGGTTACGAGAGATGGTGAATATATTAAACCCAAAAGTGATAAATTGAATTATGGAACTATGGTTTTTGTACGAGTTTTAATAACAGACATGGTAGCTTTCAATTTAGCTAGAGCTTGCACTATTGCAACACGATATAGTGCTGTTAGAAGACAGTCTGAAATTATTGCTGGGTAAGAAATTTAATCTAATTATGTAATTATTAATAGTAATGTATATGAATTATAAAAAAAATTGTTAATGAAAATATATTTTTGTAGGAAAGGAGAAGTTCAAATTCTGGACTATCAAGCACAACAGTATAAACTTCTGCCTTTAATTGCATTAACTCATGCAATCAAAGCAACTTTTCTTTCCTTAATGCAAACTTACAAAGTAGCAAGTCAGAATTTGGAAAAAGGTGATTTGGGAAACTTGCCAGAGGTAAATTGAATTTGTTTTTTTTTTTTAATATCTTGATAAAAAGAGTTAAATAAAAATGAAAAAATTAGTTATTCAGATATTTGACAGTTAATGTGTAAAGTGTTTGAAATTATTATATAGCATGTCAACAAAATCATTGCATTGTACTATATCTTGTTTATGTAGTATATTAGCTAAATACAAGTGCATAAAAATATAGTTACACAATAATGGAATATTCAATGAAGTAGTTGATATGCACCCCTGGCTGCTGCATTTCATTGGGCCAAATCTTATCTCAGTTCCTATGAACAATAGTAAGATTTAGTTAGTTATTAATTACAATGTTATAGAATGTCTCCAGATTATTAAAAAAAATATTTCTGGTCAAAAAAATTTTCAAAGGAGAAAGAGAAGCAGCTTGACATTGTCACAAAATAGAGCAGAGAAACTGTATCAAGAATATCTTCATGGCTTCACAAACTCAAGGCAGTCACCTATGTATATTTAATAACGTCTGGTCCCAATTAGTCTAAATTTTCAATGCTTCACTGTATTAAGATCATTTTAAAATGTTCAATATACTTTCTTCAATATTGTATTCTTGTTTAGGCTTTGGATTTTCTATATCAAATGGAAAAATTGTGGTTGTTTATATGGAAGCTTTTGTTTGGAGCTTGCAGTTCCAAGCTGTAAAAATGAAATGAAGCACATTAAAAATGAATAGATTTAAGTAGCAGACAACCCACATCATAGCATACATAAAACAGTTTCTGTCTTACAAATCAGGAATTTCTTTTGATGTCATTTTTTCATCCTTGTAATATTGATATTTTATTCATTTCTTTGAAACAATATTGTAAATGTGTATGTGAACATAAGAGTGAAAACATTATAGCTTCAATTGATATTAAATTTTTTCAGCTTTATATATGTGAATTTTGAAATAGAATATTGTAAATGGTATAAGCAAGATAAATTCTGTATATTTCAAATTTTAAAATAATGTTAAGCATTACAATTCTCGAGAAAAAAAAAATACAAATTTCTAAACACATCCATATTATATTAATTACATCTCTATGTAAAAATTTAATATCTCTAATGAAATTCTAAAGGATTTAAATTATTCAATTTAAATAATTGAGAATCAGCAATATTTTGCTGATTTTTTTTTTAAGCTATTTAGAAATTGACAGTTCATATAATCAGAACAGTTTCTAGATTAGGCTTTTCATACTAAAATTCTAAGTTTCTATAAAACAGGGCTGTGGAGTCTGTAGATTTTTACATGTCTCCGACTCTGACTTTTCCTTACCATCCATCTCTGACCAGGTCGGACTTGTTAACAAAGTAAACCCGAAAATTCTGACATCATCATATGAGCGCAGAATGTAAGCTTCAATAAATATAGTTCTAATAAAGATAGAATATAGAAAGCTTTTTATTCCAAAGCTAAAAGACTCCTTTAAGTATTGACATAGTCAATATATAAATATTTTTTTGATAATTTTTACTTTCCTTGCTGTTATATATAACAGAAGAAAAGTGTAGTGATCAGTCAAAAAATGATCCCAGTCCAAATGTTTACAATTTTGGACTTGGGACACCTCGAAATGTCGAGATATGCAAAGATTCAGGTTTTTTTCTATATGTATGAATGTTAGACTGTTTGGGGGGGCATGATTTTGAACCGGAGTGAGATGGTTTAACACAGGAATTATTAAGCTTCACAATGGCTGAACTAAATCATTTGGTACACATTCTAATATCCATGCATACAGAAAAAACTTCGAATGTTTTTGCACTTCTCTACATCTGAAGGCTTCCCAAGTCCAAAAGAGTAAAAATCTGGGAAAGTCATTTTTTTGACTGATCGTCATTTTTTTCCTTTGTTATAAGCCTATACTGTATAACAGTCAGGAAAGTAATAACGACGATTCTGATTATTTTAACAAAATACGAGGCGTGTCCGGAAAGTAAGTACTGTTTTGGAAAAACTCACATAAAAAATCTTTTTTCAAAACAAAATTTATTTTTACATGAAAGAGCATGTTGGAAACTATTTTTCTACATAGTTACCACCATTGTTCAGACATTCGTCATATCGGGAAACCAACTTGTCTATATCCTCTTCAAAGAAAGATGCCGCCAGTGAAGACAGCCACTGCTGAACATTGATTTGTGACAATCTCATGCAAAACAGTTTTTGAAATTTGTGGAAACTCATCACAAAGCAATCTTATTGTGAACCGTCTGTTTTCAAGAGTTTTCTCATTCACTTTTGCAACCAAACCATCATTGATAACAGAAGGCTGGCCACTCCGTGCTTCGTCATGAACATTGGTGCATCCAGCATTGAACTGTCAAACCCACTTTCTCACTATTCCATCACTCATTATATTTTCACCATAAATCTCTACAAGTTGACAATGAATTTCAACTGGCTTAACATTCATTGCGTTCAAAAACCGTATTACAGAACGCACTTCGTAGTCGGCGGGATCGGCAATTGTCTTAAAATATTTTGAACGCTCACTAACACATGGAAAACAACACAATCTGGCTCTAATGGGTGTCAATGGACTGACAATCAACCAGAGACACGTGTATGCAGGTGCTGAACTGAGATACTACCACTGCGGTGGCAGTAAAATGAAACAGTACTTCTTTCCGAACACGCCTCGTAATTAATTTCTTAAAATTGTTTTAAACATTAAAATTTGACAATCTACTGAATATATAAATTCACATTTATTGACTTGTTTGATGATGTCAATGGTATTTGAATAAAAATAGTACATACATTCGTACACAAACAAATTAATTTAATAAAAATGTTGTACATAATATATGAGTATAATGGGTAATAAGAAATATATTTGTATACTTATATATTCTTGACTTAGTTTAATGTAACATTTAGATTGGTAAAGAAAAAGACTGCTTATTTTGTCATGTTGATTAATTTATTATTTTTCATATTTGTTATAAACTGAATTACTCCTTACAAAAAGAATCACTTCTATTAAGTCAGCATTCACTGAAGCTCTTAAATCATATTTAATAATTTTAAGAGTGGAAAATAAACACTCTACTGAAACTTGGTTGGTGGCAATTCTGTGACAATCAATGCTTGATAATGTCTGGATAGTGCAGTATCTCCGTTTTAACATCTAAACTTGAAGAGTGGTCAAATGTGATTTATTTTTTCCAGTAAAAATCATCTTCAAATTTTATAAGATTTCCTTTTCTGTCTGTACTCATATTAGAACTTAAGCTTAATTTTGAGGGTGGAGATGAGTTTTATAAAAAAAAAACTAGCAGATGTTGCTTGGGCAAAAAGTAATGATAACGAACAATCTTATCCATTTTTACTGGGTGCAAGAATTAGGTCCCCCCTCTTCCAAGACTAATTAGAGAATTTTCAGATGGATCTAAAAGTATGTTTGATTTTCTGCAAAAATGCAAAAAATCGCATCTAAAATAGTACAGTAGAACCAGAGTTATTCAGGGTAATCCTTAACCTTCTCCCTCTCCCCCCACAAGAGGAATTTCAAAAAATTCCTTCTTAGTGTACATTCTTATGATGTATCCTAACTGTGTACCAAATTTCAACTTTCAACTCCTAACTGTTTGAACTCTGAGATGATTATTATGTTGGGTTTAGGGGTTATACTCAGTTGACACCAGTGGCTGAGTACTATGCCAGACCAGAGTCAAGGCATAGCAACCAAAACAAAACCAAAAAAAAAATTAAGTGTGTGTCTGTATTTAGGAATGTTCTAACAATTATTATTATTATGAACCCATCTCGATTATATTATAAGATTGTGAATGTGAATAACGAGTAAAATATTCATTAAGTCTGACACACTGGAGATATGACACAACCCCCTTCTATGTCTCTACCCTGTCAACCTTTAATTAAGAACCAAAATTTAATAGAATTAATGCCCTTTATACACATGCTACCATGCCAAATTTCATTTATTAAACTTTACTCATTCTGAGATATTATTTAATATTTCAGAACAGAATAAAGAAATTAAACAAATTAGATGCCAATATGAGCATGCAAATTTTTTCCTTTATTTGACATTTTTTGGGTTTGACAGATCTCCAAACATAGATTTGCAAAAAATTGAGGGTCAAATGTGACACAACTCAAATACTTTTCTGTTTTTTATATATATAAGAAGTTGGGAAAATAAAAAGGAGTCAGGGGGATTTTTGATGACTCCAACTCCACAGCTCTGCTATAAAATTATAATTTCATAGAAAAAAATGCAAACAAAAATTAGAAGTATTTTCAAAAATTATATATTGACTTATTTTTACTGATTGTGATATGTAAAAATTTTTAATATAGAATGACTCACTCAAAATCAAAGTTAAAAAAAATTCCATTTACTTAAATACTGCAGTCTGTTAAACTTACATTTGCATTGGAGTTGTATAATATTACTATATTCATATATACATAAATAATTTGAAGCAGTGAATATAGTAAATCATTGCTGTTTGTCAAGTTAATAATCAATATGAGCACACAAGAATGAATGTTATAATCACAAGGACATATTTTTCGGTTTGTTTAAATTACAGCTAACTGAATTAATGATATAATGTAATCGGTTAATAAATGTCTCATATCAAAATGTGATTCCATTTCCATCAGTATTGTTTTGCTGTAATAATGGTCAAAGTTCATATTATTTGATATTTCACAAATATATTTTAATCTAAAAATAAAAATGAATGGATTTCATATAGTTTAAGGTGTACAAATCTATCAAAATTATCAGCAATTACTAAATTGAGTTGTTTTAAGATTTCCCTGGATTAAATTCAAAAAATTCTCTAAAAACTTTTATTAAAAAAATTAGATCATCAAAATAATCCAAATAAAACTGTAGTAGTGTTTTTAGTTCTAATATTGATATTAATGATGATTAAGATATATGAAAACTGACAGATTTTTAAATGAGTTATACATGTAAAATATAATTTGGATTTAAAATATTTTTCAAATTATGGCATTTTAAATTTGATATGCAAATCGAACAAGAACCAAATATTCAAATTTCCTACTGGACATTATAAAATTTACATGTTATTCAGTTCTTAAAATTATATAAAAGTACTAGCAAATGAGCCTGGCATTGCTTGGGCAAACGATTTGGATGATTTGGTAAATATTGTACATTTGGAAATTAAGTTATTACTATTAAAAACAAAAAAAAAATGCATATAAAATAGTACATTAGAAGCCATTCCTCAGGTTAAGCCTTAATCCTCTCCCTCTTCTCCCTGCAGGGGAATTTCAAAAAATCGTTTCCTAGTTGCACTCTCATGACGTATCCTGTGTACCAAATTTCACCTCTAGGTTCAGCAGTTTGCTCTGGGCAATGATGAGTCAGTCAGGACATTAGTAATTTTATATATATATATAGAACCTATTAGTAATATTTTAAGACCAATTATATTTATAAAAATATTGCTAATAATTGTAATTTTATTTGATAAAATATTTAAGGTTAAATTGATCAGTAAAAAAAAATATTATGTTTTTATATGAGTTTGTAAAACAAAACATATGTTAAACATTTTCAGCTTCATGCCATATCTTCTGGTCTGAAGGCACTATGTTCTGATAAAGGCAGTCGAGGTATTGAAACGTGTCGTTTAGCATGTGGAGGACATGGATACTTATTAATTAGTGGATTGCCTCGTCTGTATTCTCTCACAGTAGCAGCATGCACTTACGAAGGAGAAAATACAGTACTCTATCTCCAGACAGCAAGGTGCATGATTGTTTTATCACTTGGTGTAAAAATTTAATGAAATTTTAATTATGTATGTATTTCCAGATTCTTATTAAAGTGTTTGAAACAAGGAAATTTATCACCAGATTCAAATTTTAATTATTTACTGAAGAAAGGTGGCGGAATAGTGACACCACTTTCTGCAGAACCTACTCTTAAAGAGCTACTCTCATTATATGAAGCAGTTGCCTACAGGTAAGATATTGTGAACTAATATTCTCTAATTAGGGGAGTGGTCTTGTTACCCCTGGTGTTGGTATAAATTTCTGTGAGGTGTGTTTGTCATCCAAAAGTTTTGTTTTTCTGAAATGAGTGAATGCAACATAAGTCTTTATCTAATAAACCAGAAATGAAATATTTTCATTAATCACATACTCCGAACCAATTAAGGTGTGCAGATAAAAAAACAAACATTTTCAAACTCCTTCCGAATTCTTCATCAGGTTTTGAAATGATTCCCTGATGGTTTTTTGTAACAGCTTTTGGAATAAAATTCGAACAAGCATTCAAATATGTTTGAAAAAATTATTAAAACCATGTTGCGCCTGCACAGAGTCACCCTGCTGGGACTCAACAAACAGCTAAGCAGCATTGCCAAAGGCCTTTGACAAAACCATTTCCTTTTTATAATTTAGGATATTGATGTAAAATCAGATTTAAAATGTGCACAGCCTCCAGCCATCTGAGGTGTTCCATGGGGTGCTGAAGCAAGGATGAGCTTAGTCTGGTTAAAGTCCGTCACGATGTCCGGATCTGTTGCATATGTAGAGGGGGCTGTGGTGGTTTTCACATGACGTATATCAGCAAGATATTCTTGTAATCTGATCCCCATGGAGCGCTTAGTTGACCCTATGTATACCAGGTCTCTATCGTATCTGTTGTCCCTTACGGGAACACTATATATGCCAGGGAGTCTGTTCGGGTTGGGAGGGTCTTTCCCATTATGTAGCATGTCAAAAATAGTTGGCACCTCCTGTAAGCGAGATACACCCAGCATTTCCTGGCAACTTTGCCACATAATGTTAAAGGTAATAGAGACCCATTCTACATCATCAGATTGGTTATCGTTCAGCAGGTCAACTATGGGGGGTGTGTCCAGAGTGCATTTGCTGATAACATTCTATCAGCCCATGTGTAACATTGTGATAATCATGTATGGCAGTTACGCACTTTAAAAATGCTAATTCGGCAGCAAGAGCCTAGGGATTGGAAGAATGTGTAAAGGCACTTCTGATTAAAAGACCTTGTACACCACAATCTTGTAAGAAAATGGATCACATGACCCCACTGGTATGTACAATGACACGGAATCCGGGTATACAATATACCTGATATTCCTTCAGGACCTAGAAATATTTTCTAGGTCCTGAAGGAATATCAGAAAATGTAAAACCTTATGAAAATCAACCTTCTAACACAGATGTTTGAGTTATATTTTTAAGATTATACAGTAAGACTCCGCTTAATTTTGCCTTGCTTAACACTGATTCGATATAATGCTGCCTTCTTGAAGCCTTAAAAAAAAAATAGCTCAAAATTTATAATGATTTAAATTATCATAGCATTTTATTTATTCGTACATAATATGATATTTACAAACACGAACCACTCAGAAAAAAGTGGCAAAAAGGTGTACTTTCTTTAAATCTATGTTTGTTTGGTGCAATTTTGGAAAAAACAAAACATCATGGATGCCATGTGCAATATCAACTTTGCTTGGCAAGAATTAACTGATAAATGCACAAACGAAGTGTGGAAGAAGTTATGGCTGAAGGTATCCAAGAATTCTCAACGAGAAGAGCCTATCGATATATTGTTAGGTTGATCAAACTCAACCTAATCGATATAGCAGGACTAGGAGATGTAGACGAACAGGATATTGAGGTGTTACCACAGGTTTCTGGTGAGTGTCTTATCAATGATGACCTTCAAGAACTGGCAGAACAAGGAATCTATGTAGAACTGGAAAATAGTGATTCTGAAAATGAACCTAAAACATTTCTCTATATAGATTTCCTTAGTAAAAGTTTGGTAACGATGACCAAACTCGTTGATCTAGACTTTGAAAGGAGTGCAAAAGCAAAACAAGGTGTTTTGGATGCGATCCGCTACTGACATTTGCTTAAGGAAAGAAAAAGGAAAAGATGAAACCATGACTTTATTGCAAAAAAATAAGAATTTCAGAAAAGTCAGGACCTTTGTCACAAAAAATGTACTAATTACTATATTATTATACAAATTAATATAAAAATGACTTAAAATTAAAGTCAAATTTTTTTATTTTTGGTCACACGTTCCTCGTCCCTATTTACTCTGTGAAAATGACCTCGTTTAGCACTTTGTTGTCTAGGAATGCATCCCCGCATTAAGCGGGGTCTTACTGTATATTTCTTCCATTAATAACAAATAGAAAACAATTGCTGATTTATTAACCTTATTAGAAACTGTAGTGTCAAGAAGAAATAAATCTCTGAAAATATAACTTTGCTGGATTGCTTATTTATATAAATTCAGCTCCATCTATGATGATTTTATGTACTCCAATAACTATTTTAAAAATCAAAATTTTATCACCTAGAATTGCATAATACTGATGAACAACTAATGAAATTAAGATCATTGTAGTGATCTTCATTTCATTAGCTTAGCCATAGCTTGTTTTATGCTAGTGCACTGGCATAAAACAAGCTATGGCTAAGAAAAGCATAGTTTTTATCATTGCATCAAATATAGATAATACATAGTTGATTTTTATGGAAAGAGTTTTATATATAAACAAGAAATGCATAATAGTAATAATGTTGAATATATAAATTTGTAGTTTTTGCATTACTACTATGAATAATTTGTGCTACTGTTCTACTCTCGTGATTGTAACTTGTTATTTGATTAAATGATTTGAAATGGCAAGGAAAACAAGTGCATGTTAAAGGATGATGTTTTATGATTCAAAATTTAAGTTAATTTCTGTTATAAAATTGTAATCTAAAAAGTTACAATAGTTTGTATTCCAAGGAGTTTTGTCATCATAACAAATTTCAATGTACAAAATAATAATAATTAATATTCAGTATAATTGAAGAGCGTGAAAATTAATTTAATGAGGTTAAAACAAATTGTTTTATGTTATAAAATGCACAATAAGGATAGACCTAGTAATAATCCACAAGTCACTTTGAATTTCTATGTACTGCCATTTTTCTAGTTATTTTATTATTAATTATACTGCCATGTTATATTCCAGACAATATTCAATTCTATTTATGAAAAAATGTGTTTTATCTGATTTAAATGTAAGAATTGATTCACATCAATTTTTATTAATCATATGATGTGATAAAAGAATATTTATTACCTTTGTAACTTAATCTGTTTTATCTAAATCACCTTTAATGCCAACAAAACAGCACATATCTAACATAATTCAGGCTATGAGTGATTATAGTTTGTCATCAGATCAGAAAACAAAATTTTCAGAAATTAGTTTGATTCATTATGATCAATGGTTGTCATTATAGGGAATATATTACAAAAATATGAACATGATAAGCATAATGTGAAATCTCGCATTTCTTTAAGAATAGAATGTAATAGGATTACATATAAATTATCATTAGTCTACAATACTTCAAACTGGTTGTTTTCTCTTCTCTTTGTATGAATAATTCCATCATTTCAAATTTACTAATTTATTATTACTCAATCTTATACAGGACAGTTCATATTGCTTCAAAAAAAGTAGACACACTTATTCAGATGGGCGATTTTCCAGAAATTGCTTGGAATAAAAGTCATGTCTGTTTAATTCCAGCAGCTAAGGTAATTTTACACACTATGTATATCAATTAAAATCATTAAAATATTAACCACTTTTTACAATTTTGATTATAGGCACACGTTCAGTACTATATAAATCAGAGATATATAGAATGGGTTGAACAGAGTGGAATACCCAATAATTTACGTAAGGTGCTGAAGAATCTTTGCCAGCTATATTTGTTATTTAATATCTGTGAAGAACCAGGAATATTTTTACAGGTGAGGTTCTATTTTAAGCCCAGCACAAACTAGGCGATGCCTCATCAAACTGGTTGGAAATGACAAACAAAATTTGTTTGATTGTCATAGTGACAATGAAAGGATGACCAGGTTATTGATGATTGACCCTATGTCACACCTTTGATAGGAAGTAGGAAGTCATTTTGACAACTGTCAGATTTAAGAAGTTGGATTCTTTGGGCAATGATCAGAAACACTCATGCTCATACAAGAAAGGAACATGCTGTAGGCCACAAAAATCTTGCACGTTTGTACTGTGATCTCTGTCATTCATTTTATTGAAATTATTATAAAACATAGATATGATGGATGAATCCATTCTCTACATCAGGTGTCCAATTCAGTTTACATTTCTTTCAAATACAGCTTCAGCTGCTTCCATTTGTTAACATCAAGAAATCATCATTGCAGACTGCTGCTATTTTACAAACTACTGAGCTTTAGACAAAATATTGATTCTTTAGAACTATGTCATGAGTGGCATTGCCAGATTAATTGAAGGGAAACAGTCACATGATGTAAAAATTGTGGTTGCTTTCAATTTGACAGAAGCATTGACTAGTCTGCACCAAGTATTAAATTTATATATGATTTAAAGTCTGATGCAAACTAGTCAACATTTCTAATAATTATTTTTATTTATAATTAAGTATATACTTATTATATAATGTTTATTATTTTATAATACTTCATTTCAAGGTTGGTCTGACAACATCCAAACTAGAACAATTACAAAATAAATTGATAGAATTACTTGCCGAACTTCGTCCAGATGCAGTTCCATTAGTAGATGCTTTCGATCTGCATGATCTTGTGTTAAATAGTGCATTGGGACGATACGACGGTCAAGTGTATCGTACAATGTTCGAGTTGGCACAGAGAGCTCCACTAAACAAAACTCAGGTAAATTATTATGCTTGGTGATTATATTTATCATAATTTATTTTATTGACATTGTTTTCTTGCAGGTTCATGAATCCTATTATAAATATCTCCACCCATTAAAGTCTAGATTATAATTATAGAAAATTATAGCTACATGTACAGATTACTTGCCTTGAGCTGCTAACTAAATTATATACTTGGGGACCATATTGCAATCAAGAGTTTCTTCCATAATGGTACTTTAATAGTACAAAAGTAGGAGAGCTTAATGAACTAACGGAAGACTAGTTTATTAATCAGTTTTTCTGAAATGTAAATAATTGCAATATATTCAATTGTTACATATATTTTGCAAAATTTTATTATCAAGTTTTGAAATCATAGAAATTAATTTCTATAAATTACATACTTTTTCATTAAAATTTATTTTTATCAATATTATTGTGTTAATTTCTTCAAAAGATACTTTTATTAGCCAGTTAGAAAAAAATTTACAAAAAGGGATTTAAGATCACTATGAAAACTTTAATAAAAAAAGTGTCTTATATAAGGCACCAAGTAAGAATTTATTTTAGTGACTAGTTTACAGATGTATCAACAGTTTTAAGGCATAAAAATAGACATAGTTGGCATTTATTTTCCTGTGACTAGTAGCAGTTTCCATTCTACTAGTTTATTTAATTAAAAGAAATCTCACACTTTACTCTTACATAATTTATCGTGTTGAACTATCTATTCTCTATATTGCCGACAGAGTGGCCTTGTGCCGTGCACTCAGTTCCGGATGCCAAAAATCTACGATGAGAACCAAACGAATTTTATTCCCTTTGTGCCAGACTTCATGTTCGAAAGAATCGTCAAAGATGATCATTTTGCCTTCTTTCCATTCCCTGAAAATAAAACATTTAGTTTAGCATTAATCCAAACAAGGCATATATATGCTAGCACACCATATATTTTTGATAAAATCAAGTCAAATATATGAATTTCAACAATTAAACTTTGTCTTAGCTTCCAGATACAGAATGTAACAGCGTCTTGCACCTAATTGTGATTTATCATCAATCTATAGATATCTCAATTTAATAAAAAGTTCACTACTTATTGATAAAGCTCATGTAATTATGATTTAAATGGTTACCTTGCAATCCTTATTTTTTTAGTATGGTAAGATGTAGTTTTCTTTACTGATAGTATATGTAACTGCAGCAAAATCAATAAATTTTTATTATGAACACAAAATATAAATACTTTGTATTACTGATAAGTTACAGATAAGTGAATACATTGAACTTTAGTTTTGAAATGAATGTTTATGGTGCAAAAAATACTTAGTGTTTAATCCAAAGAAAATGTTTCTATAATACTCATCATCATTAACAATGTTCTCAATTTATAATGATAGTTATTGGATAGAAAATGCCTTTAATTGTTTTAAATATTAAAGCTTATACATAGAAATTGTACTTATTAAAAATTTTATGCCTTTTCATCATATTTTTATTGATTTTTTCAATTACATATAATAAACTTGTTACTAGATTTGGCAATAAAAAAGCATGCAAGCAAATACTTTGTTCAAATGTTTCTGATAGATTGTTTAGAGTGTTCTAAAATTGGTTATTCCAAGTTATGTAAGCATCAAATCATTTAAATGAAGAAATGTCAGTCAGATTGTTCAGTAATACAAGAGTATTGGTTTTAGTATATGTTAGCATGCCATTAACTAAATCATTCATAGGATACACCAGTGTTTCTCAACCTCTAAAGAATCATCACCCCCTTCACTTCAAAATTCCGATGATGAGGGCCAAGGCTAACACCAAATTTGTACTGCATTGAATAGACTAGTGACTAGTATAGGCACAATCAATCTTTCAATATTAGCTACTCAAGTCCGAATAGTTCGATGAAAAATTCTGACACCTAAAAAAAAAGTCAAAAACTCACTGTACGTTTAGAGTTAACCCTCCATTACAAATCTCGTAAGTACAGCATAGAATGTTAATGTGAAAAATGTATCTGTAATCTCTATCTACAATTCAGTCTCTATGGGGTGACACCACAATGAGATCTCTCATCATCTCAAAATCTTTCTAGGGCAGCCTCTGGTTCGGCCCTTGGAAAAAGTTTTCTTTCCAATTCGGCCCGAAGGCAAAAACTGTTGGCCACCCCTGGACTAGTATAATGCTATTTTATTTGTTATATCGTACAATAATTAAACAAATATCTAATTATTCTTAATATAATATTTTACTATATCATCCAGAAAATTATTTTTCGTCCCCCAAAATATAAATTGTTACGAATCATCCCCTCTACACGGAAAAACACCACATAGGGGCGATATCGTCCCCGTTGAGAAACACTGGAATACACTCTTGACAATAAACTTTGCATGCCCAAATAGAATTGTCAGCATACATACAGCTTGTTTGATTTTTGTTTGAAATTTATTTCTGTCATAATAAATGTACAAAATAATTTAAATTAGTGATGTAACGAATATTCGGTTACTATTCAGTATTCGGCTTATTCTTCACTATTCAGCTGAATACCTAAAAACAGGAGTAAGAAATAACAAAAACACAGTAAATTAATCATTTTGTTATTTAGATTTAATGTTATCGAGTTAGTGTTGTTTGTTTATATTTATTTATAACTTGTAACACGCACAAAATAAAAAAATAATAATATTGGTCACATCTATTCACAATTTATAATTACAAAGATCAGTACACGTACACACCTATTCATTCGAGAATCGTCGCACACACGTGAGGGTCTGACCCTACCTATCCTTTTTAAGCACTCGTCTTTGCCATTTCCTTTCTCCTTCCTCCATCTCTCTAGTCCACGTATGCCTATGCATACATCATAATACACGCTCACGATACTTTCAATTCATCACTTTTCCATCGTAGTTTTTCCATTTTATAATTACATGACTCATAGCCTGCTGATAACGGAGAAAAGAGACAGATAGGGCGTAGGTATATGTCACAGTTATGATTTCACAGATTCGAGACAGCTTGGTAGCCCGAATGATCCCAGGCTTTCGCCCATGCACACTAAGTGACTTTCATTACAAGCAGTTAGCTTTCTGAAGTCTATGACAATAATTGTTTGGCATTGACGGCCGCAAATTTCGCTCCAATAAGCTGCTTCGACTTGTTCGATTATGTTATCAACTCAATTTCATTATTTATTTTCACATTTTCACTTCGTGGTCCTTCTCTGTTCTTTTTCCGTTATTTACACGTGTAGGTCATTTCATTGTTATTCACATTTGATATCATCATTTATCGCATACTGCCATGATGCTCTTGTCTGTCCACTACAACTGTCAAGAATTAACACGATTGGCGAAGCGTAGTGACAGCGGGCCAATAGAGAGCAGGGTCCTTGCCATAATGAGGTTTGCACGCCAATATTTCATTCGTGCGTTAATCAAGCTGAATAGTTTGGCCGAATATTTGGTATTCGGCCTGAGGCTGAATATACTATTCGTTGCAACACTAATTTAAATTCCTTAAAATACATAAACTCTAAACCAAGTTTGAGAGAGGTTGCTGGGCTGGCTATTTGGGAAAATGGCAACCTGTTTTCCCAAATAGCTCAAGAATTTGTTTTGCCAATTGGACTTCATTATGTGGAAGAACACACATGTTGGGAAGGCTCTGGCCAACAAGGACAAACTATACCGAGAAAGAAAAGCTTAACAGCAAGACAAAATGAATATAACCAAAATTTTACTCATGTTCTGATGGAGATATTAGCTATAGAATAAACATTTTATCAATTTCGGATTGGTGATTGCACTAACATTACAGTGACGTCAGTGACCGTGTGACATTCATGCTTGAAAATTTCCCTTAAGTTGGCATATTTAAAAAGTCATTTGTCAAGCTTACTTCATTTCATTTAAGAATGATACCACTCATCTAATTAACACAATGAGGCTAACACTTTCTAAATAATGTATGTACAATTCATCTTTGTATTAGCAAGTCTTTTTAACACGTTCACAGCATCAGTAGATAAATGTTTAGACAGCTGTTGGTTGTTATGAGTCACGGGTGACTTAGACTCGTAACATCCATTTTAATAAAGAGTGTCACGAGTCACCTGTGCCTTGTACTATTAAATTAATATATTTTATTGCAACCATACTTAATTAATAAAATAATATCAATATATGTTTGTAGAATTATATAATCAAAACATACGTGCCGCGCCGCCCCACAGAAAAACTAGCAATTATGTCTGTAGCCCTAACTAGACATGTGCATACAAGTCACATGTGACTTGTAATGCCGTGAACATGTTAATTCCACATTGATATTTTTCGGGGTGGGGGTGGAGAAATGCCTAGGGGAAAGTGTAAGAGTAAAATTGGTCAGGTAAATTCTAGATCTAAAAGAATAAGAACCAACAAGACAGTCGAACCACCATGTTGCTCGAGTCAGGCTTGTGAAGTCTGGCTTGAGCAACATCAAGTAAGAATGGATTTGTCAAGGGCCGCGGAAACAATATCAAGCTCAATTTGATTGAAGCTTTTCTCAATTCTTCACTCTCTACTTTCTCATAAAAAAACATATTCTGTCATGTTTGATGGGAGAATTTCTAGTATAATTACTGGTATTTTATAAGTTACTAAGTAATAAAGTAGGTAGGTAAACAATCATTTAACTCCTACATATATATATAAACTCAATGCACACAAAAATAAGTTTACAGAAGCTGCAATAAGGGTCTAGAACAGAGGTGGCCAACGGTTTTTGCCTGCGGGCCGAATTGGAAAGAAAACTTTTTTCTTGGGCCGAACCAGAGGCTGTCCTAGGAAGATTTTTAGGTGGTGCGAGATCTCATTGTGGTTTCACCCTGTAGAGATGAGATCACAGATACATTTTTCACATCATGCTTTATCAACATTGTTGGCCACTATTGACAAAAATTTATAATTCATTTCAAAAACTAACATTGAAAATAGAACTCAAAGTTTGAGAATTTGACATTCACGAAAGGCTACTTGGTCCCAATTATTCACAAACACTGGGATCAGTGTATATGTTACTGTGAAAGACCGAAATTAGAGAATGTCGATATTCTCTGGTGAATGTCGACACATACAAAATACGTATATGAAAGTCTGAATATTTGGTTATATTATTATACATTCGAACAATCGCCGGTGTATGTCGACAAGCACAGATAAACTTTGGTGGAGATTGAAACGACACCAGAGAAGCCGATGTTGACAGAGAGGCGACAGTCTATCGCCAAATACTTTGTGGATAGCCGGAGGTAGGACACAGTCGTATCTCTTTTTCCGGCAATGGTTTGTTGGAAACTGCTCATTTTGTCACTGGATGGCATTTTTGTTCTTTTGATCCTGTGAGGTGGGGATCGATTTGTCAGGTCGAGTGGCGGAGGATGAGAGGGGGTCGTCAGTAAGGCGTCGGTAAGTTTATTATTGTATTATTATTGTGATATCTGAATAAAAGACACCATTAACAGATCAGTTCGTAATCACATAATAATGTAATCAGTTCATAATTTGTAAAGAAAAGTTACTTTCCATAGATGAGATTTCTTCTCAAGAAATAACGCTGAGAGCAGCAGCTGCAGCTAATTCGAAAAGTGGAGGGCAAGGCTATACATGCTGTCATTGCAAAAAAGTGTTCCATGAATAAATGCAGTTGTAAAAGCAGAGACTCTTATGCAATTCAAAGTGCCATAACAGTTTAAGTTGTTGCAATAAATAAGATTGTATAACGTTAATTACATAATTTATGTGTAAGATTATTATTGTATTATTTTCTTTAATGATTAAGAATGTGCTGTTCGTTTTAGGTTCAACAGTTTATTTACATGTGCTGTTACTTAAGCTTTCTCCTATTTTGACATATTAAAAAGTTGCATATTTGTCTTAATGTAATAAAAATATTTTTATTCAACATTCACCATCAGTGCATGCTGAATGTCGACATTTGCTGGTGTAAGTGAGAAATAATGATATTTAGCAAATATTTCGTACATACACAAAACGACTGTGTGAATGCTGACTTTCGCCAGATATCGGTCATTCACAGTAACATATATACAAGGTGATTATGGATATTTATGCAAAATGTGAAGTCATTCTGACCATTATAATTAAAACAAAATCAAAACCACAAACATGTTTGTGCACTGGTGCGTTTTGAACTTCTGTTCAAAGCCTGAATGTGGATGCTTATGAGCCTCCACTATTTCTCAGGAGAGAACAGTTGTCTCTCTTTTTATTATGTAAAACAGAAATCTCAGACTAAACCTTTTGTTGATTGCACAGTATCAGATACTCAGCTGAGATTATTATTTGCAGCCCGCAGTAGTAGTGCCCCTACATTTGACATAAGAATGGAGAATCTGAGCAGCACAATTGACCTGGACACAAGCAACATTTCACAGGCCGAGGTTGATATTATATCACCTTGGTCAACTCCTGAGATAAATGTAGACTAGCTTAAAGCAGTTTCCTAAGGAATCCACTCCAGATTACGTCTATAGACAGTACTTTTCAGAAATTCAACACCATGACAGGAATTTAATTCCTATTTACACCGATGGATCAAAATCGGATGATTATGTTGGCTCAGCCTTTGTCTGCCAGGATGAAATCGTGGCAGTACAAATTGCACTGAATTCTAATTCTCCCATCTTTACTGCAGAGCTACAGACTATTTACCTAGCCTTAAAATATGTAATTAGGAAAGGTCATCGTCGCTATGTTTACACTGACTTGTCAGTGCACTTCAGGCTTTGATCTCGTGTGAACGCAGTTCTCACTCCATAGTGATTAAAATTCACGAACTGTTTTGCTATCTTATTGCAAGTAATATTCTGTAAAATTTTGTTGGGTCTCAGCCCATGTAGATATAACAGAAAATGAAGAAGCAAAGTCAACTAGTCCTACACAGTATACAATGCATATTGAAGGAGGTGATTTGAAGCTAGTCATTAAAAAAACAACTAGCAGAGAGATGGCAAAATGTCTGGAACGCACAAGTACACAATAAACTACACGAGATCAAACCTATGATAGAAAATTGGACACATAATAAAGAGTATGATAGGAGATCTGAGGTTATCCTTACCTGTTTGAGAATTGGACACACTTGTCTGATTCATCAATACCTTCTGAAGGGTGATGACCAGTATTGCAACTACGCTCTAAGTGTAAAACACATATTTTGCAATTACTCTGTCTTTGAGAGGATGCTAGACAGTATTTTCGAAATGCAAGTCTGACAGAGGTTTTGGGCCAGAGGTCAAATCTGGACAATCTACTGGACTTTCTGAAAGTCATTAATATGTATAAAGAGATTTGATTATTTATTTATTTTATAGTTTAATGCACTTTGTTTTACCTATCTATATTGTATATATTTGTGTTTTTATTTTATTTTTTAATTTTTTTCATATGTTTGTTATTTGTCATGTTTAAAATTTTTCACCATTTCCACTCTTTGAAAACAGCCTATATGGCTCTTAAGCCAAAAAACCAAAACCAACCAACCAGAGTGTTTTTGTAGATCTGTAGTGGATATGAAGTGTAATGCTGGATTTCAGTTCTGCTAAATTGTTGTGTTCAATTACAATTCTTCAGATGTCCCCAAAGCCAAGTCACGTGGCCAACACTTTCACCAGACCCTAATCCATACTACAGAAAAATGGTGGCTGATTATTGTCATTTCCAAAATGACTGTGTAGTAGCCACTTAACTGGTATTGCAATATGCAGTAGGACACTTTCTTACACAAAAATAATGATATACCAACACTGCAGTAGTGTTGGTGTCTGGATAACATTTTTTTCAGAGCCACAAAGCAATGAATTTTGTTCCAAGAAAAAATTTAATTCAAAAATTTGCTATTGGGAGACCTGTGTTACATACTGGCAGTATCAAAAGATGCAAATTACTTGTACATAACATTTTTGATAAAACTGGAACCTGTCCGTTGTCATGAAAAATCTGGATTGTTCTGTCACAACAATTATCATAAAACAGTTTTACAGAGTGGATCTTTTAATCAGAATGATGGTTCTTGTTTAATAGCTCTGAGAAAGTTTGGATCAGATTTTAACTTCATTAACATTCTAAGGTCTGCAAATGACTTGCTTAAAATGATTTTAAAATTTGAAGAGACTTTGATATCCAAAGAGCTATTCAATAGACAGATATGGAAGATGCTCAGAATGACAGTATTGGATCTACTAGTGTACTGTACAGTACAGTACATAGTATTAACTGATCAATTGACATACCCTCCAGTATGGTAAAAAGTTTTTTTGAGAAATATCCTTACAAAATTACCCATGTTTGATAATTGTTATCTTTGGACAAGAATGCATGAGAAATGTTCACACTTCAGTTTCTTGCCCAGATGGAAATGGAAATAGAAATGTACCTCATCTGTTCATAAAATTTTACATCTCCAGGGAACTATTAACATGCAAAATTGCAGAATCTGGATACCTGACATAGTGCATGTGGATTTTCAGTTATCTCTTCATTTCCTAAAAGTCACCATGTGGTACAGATTCAAAAGTAATTTAATAATCACCTTGTATATAAATATATGTGTACACTAGAGAATATAATTGAAAAAAGTTCTTAAACTGTTCTCACAAAATATTGTTAAAACTACTATATTCATCCTGTTGTAATTTAATTTAATTTTCAGTTTACATAATTTTCTATTACTATAAGGTACATTTCAAAATATAATGCATTATATGGTACATGAGATATCAGATTTACTTGTAACTATCTATAGCAAAAAATATTAGATAACATTGCAACAAGACACTGATGATGGACATCACAATGGGAAAAGCAATGAGGTGTGATATGCCTAACAGAGGCATCATTCTGCTCACACGATAATGCCTGCACCATGGCAGAATTGATTGCAGAGTTTGGACTTGAGCCCTTGTGATTTTCACTTTTTCAATCCACTGAAGAAAGAATACCTAGTTTCCCCAGTGGAACAAGTGCCTTAACAAATATGGAAAGTACAGTAGACCCCCCTATAAAACGGGTTCATATAATGCAGATTCAAATATCGCGGCGAAAAAATTGCGACCATATTCATATAAAGACGCTAAAAGAAACTCATAAAATGTGGTAAAACATCATCACTGACTCGTGTCGCAACAGGATTGGTTGAATCTAGACCAATAGCAGATATTGCACAAACCATTGAGTTTAAACAAGAAGCGGACCTACTAAAAACCATTTATTATTTAATGTCCATAAAAATTATATTTATATTAATGATGTCTCCAAAGTTCAGCAAACTTTTGCAGAAAAATAATTTATCAGGAAATGCACCTGCCGTTCTACGTGCTGCTCCATGATGAAAACAAGCTTAAGCAAGGCGTCGTCGAACGGTGCACACTTGTAAGTAATCCTAGAATTTTTTGTTTATAGCATAGTTTATATAGATTATTCCCAAAAAATTATACGTATTTTTGAAATGTTGAGTCAAATTAGTCTAGAATTGATTAATTTTATGGAAGAAAATCTTACAAACAGCTGTAGTCCATAAACTGTATACGTACCGGGCTGTGATTGGCTCATGTATTTAAGGACTTGTAGAACATGAATTTCTTAAAAAGCGGAACATATCTACTGCATTATAGGGAGGTCGACTGAATGTGTAAATATCTCTTGCAAGAATATTTACAGTAACTTTCCAATTAGAAAGATTTTGTAGGACAGATAAGAATACTTTGCTAATTATTTATAACACAAGTAAATTGCATTAATAAGATAATAGGGATTGTAATAATCAAAGTCATGTAATTATGTATATATTACATTACCTGGTATCATTTGCAACTCTAATTTTCACTCCTTTGGGTACTACTAATCCTAAGTGTCCTCGTATACGACAATTAGTTGGACCAGTATGTGCCCAAATGTGAGTACCCGGCTGAAGAACCGAAAATTTAGCCTAGAGCATAAAATTTAACATTTTTAACTTTGACTTTCTTGAAATTTTATAGCTATCATCAATGAAATTACCTGTCCTCTTCTGCAACCAGCAGCATCCGGAATATTTCCGATTAAAGAACATGTTACAGGAGCTCTCTCGCAATTTTTAGTCTTGTGTCCTGTAGAAATCCATTAAAGTATTTTTCAAAATCAATATAACAATCAGATTTAATTCTGCTATAAGTAATAATTCAGTGCCAAAAAAATCTTAATATTAATTAATTGGATAGCAACGATTGACAATATCTAATTGGATGCCTTTAGATATTTCTCCAATGTCCTCAACATAATTTGAGAATTTAACCATTAATACACTTTCTAGTAGTTTTGTATTTTTATATTTTAGTTTAATGTTAATAAACATCAGTTCAACTCAAATCTTATATAATAAACAAACTAAACAAATATAAAAACACATTTGTTTAGTTTATCTAAACAAATATAAAATCACATCAACATCTAAATCAAAAGAGATGAGATTCATTTATAATAGTTAATTATTCTGATGACAAAAAATAAATAATGACATAATTGCTGAATTTCATTACCTTATTACACCTTACAAACTAGAATATATTCAATAATGAATAAGTTTTACTAGCTAATAATTGCTAGATTTGATAATTACCTCTGGCAAATAATTCAAACTGCTTCCAATCTCCGGTATCACGTAATCCTTCGCTTTCAGGTAAAAATCCAGACTGTGCGGTGTTCATCAATGCTAAAGCTTCATTCCTAATTACTTCCCATTTTTCTTGTAAAGTCTGAAATTCAAATTAACACAAGTCAAAAGATTTCATGCACTGTAAGAAATCAAAAATTTTCAGATTTTTGGCTTTCTACTCTAAATTTCATCACTATTTCAAATAATTAGTTAAATGCAGGGATTAGTGTAGTTATTAAGTACATTTACTTTAATGTGATTTTAAAAGTTTTTAATTTTAAATAAAATCAACTTTACAGAAATAAATGATGTAAACATCAAAGTATGTTTTATTATCATAATCTCTTATATAGATATATATTTAAAACTGTTCCATATACTCAAACACAGTATTTAAAATTTTTCTACCCCCAGTAAGAGTAAAATAAAGTGTTTTTAAATCGTTTTCCCATGGTTCCATTCGGGCAATTCATTTATGTGCTGTTTCTGTGGCACCAATTATTCACTTAAATTAAAATTCTATTGAATTTATAATCTGTTTTGCAAGAGCTAATTAAAACAAAAAGCCATCTAGTATCAGAGTAAAAAATAAAACTATCAAAACTAGCTATTTTGCCACTATGAGACTTTCAGTAATAATTAATTTTGGATCACAATATTATACATATACATACAGGTATCCCTCATACAACATGGTTCGAGAATTTGGGGAATCCTCTATAAAATTTCACAATTTAAGTGCAAACTCCATTATTCAATAGTTTTTTTTTTTATTCAACTAAGTGTGCATATTGTGTCAAATTTGCTCATGGATTTCAAAATATTGAAATTTTCAGTTGGTATTGTGCCTTTTATTAGGTTTATTTTGATAAAAAAAACTGATAGAAAGCTAGAACAAGGAAGAAACAAATTTCACCATCAACCAGGTATAGTTTTCATTGCTTTCATATTTTAGCATTTAAGACTGTCACCATGTTTTGGTTTTATAGATTAATCTTCATATTTAGTAAAGTTTATTTAAACATTTTTAGGTAAGTGTTATCAAATTTTTTGTTAATTGTAATTAAGTAATCATTCATAAAAATTATGAACAGAATACAGCAGTCTCTTGGTACTCAAACTTTGCTGGATAAGAAGATTGCTTGGTACTCGATTGAATAAATGCGACCAGCTAGAACAAATTTTCAATTAATAACAATTTTTTTGTCATCCATAAAAATTTAAAAAAACAAAGATGTTGCTATTTTTTATCTTGATCAGAAATAAACTCAGATGACAATGATACTTTGTAAACAGAAAATTCCCATATTTAACTAAAATTAATTAATATTTTATTTATTAATTAATATTAATGCACAATACAGTACTTTTAATTGTTATTGTTAGTTAATTATTGATTGCTTTAATAAACATATTTCTCTTAGCAACAAAAAGAAAAGTATACTTGTTAACTTTTGGAACCTAACTCTATGTTTTGCATTAGTCCTTTGTTTAGTTTAACATGGATTTACATCATATGACATTTTTTGGAATGTAACTACAGTGTTATACGATGGATGCTTGTATATATATTTTTGTCTGAAATAAAACCTGAAGAGAAGAAAAATCCTAACTCTAAAACTAATAATTTACAATATAATAATTCCAAAATCTCTAAACACTCAAGATTAAATTGATAAAAGCAAGTGTACCAAAAATTTTTTGTTTGGAAGACCAAATTGTGCATAAGTTATAGGTAGGCAAACATAAATACAGTTTAACCCGCTTATAACGTCATCCATGGAACTGGCAATTTTTTAACATTATAACTGAGTGTCATTATCTGCAGGGTCATAATTTCAGTCCCATAAAAGTATCAAGTGTGTTTAAGAATCTATTATAAAATCCATCTAATTTAATATCTTATGTATAAAAGTGCAAACTAAATGTTTAAATCAACTTTATTTACATTATTATGTCTAAATTTACAACGATGTAATTAAAAATTTCAAAAATTACCTTTTATAAGAAATTTTTATTTGTCTCAAGTCTTGATAATGGCAGCACTTCTGGTTTTGAGAATAATGTCGAATCAAAAGGCAACAAAAGGTTAAATTAATGTATATCAATTAAAAAGAAACAATAAAAATATTCACTTAAAAAAAGTCAGTTATTTTAGATTGATAAACAATTTTTAGATGAAAAACACCTACAATGTCATTTTCTAAGTCATAGATTTTGTTCATTATTTTTGATGAAGTTTTCTGAGACCTGTAGAACATTTTCAATAATCTTATTGCATTATGCGCTTTTCTGGTTGACGGCACTGCAGTTTTTCTGTCTGATGTTTCATCATCATCATTGACATTTTTTTCATCTGAAGATTTAATTTGCTCAATAAAATCTGCATCTGTATAAAATTCAGATGTTATTAAATTTTCATCTACACTCTCATATTCAGTAGCAGCAGATGACAAAAATTTGCAGTTTTCTGAACTCTGACGTGTTTTAATTAATTCCGATAGAGGAATGTCATTGTCCTCATTATTGTCATCTTTTGTAAATGTAATAGCTGTTTGACTATTACACAATTTTGCATGGTGAAAACAGTTTGCTATTATTAGCAAACTAATCTTACATCAAGATTTTTCCAAAAAATCAACTGCATCTAGTAAAGAAATTGCCATTTTATTTTTATCTTCCATATTTGTTATAATTTTTTGTAAAAGAATTTTTCTGAAATAAGATTTAAGGCTTCTTATAATTCCTTGATCCATTGGTTGAAGTACGCTAGTACAATTCGGAGGAAGGAATACAAGTTTGATGTTCTTTAAATTTTCTAAAATTGGATGTGCTGGGCAATTATCGACAAGGAGTAAAANTGTAAAAGAATTTTTCTGAAGTGAGATTTAAGGCTTCTTATAATTCCTTGATCCATTGGTTGAAGTACGCTAGTACAATTCGGAGGAAGGAATACAAGTTTGATGTTCTTTAAATTTTCTAAAATTGGATGTGCTGGGCAATTATCAACAAGGAGTAAAACTTTTTTCATTTACCAATAATTTCTCTATTCCATTTTTGAATTTCTTCTTCAAAAATCTAAGACGTCATCCATGACTTTTTGTTGGCTTTGTAATTTACTGGTAGTGTTTTTATCTTTTTAAAACATCTTGGATTCTTTGATTTTCCTATTACAAGAACTTTTCTTTTATCTGTACAAGTCATATTAGCACAAACAAAAGCTGTTATCCTATCTTTCGCAAGTTTTCCACCAACACATTTTTTGTTTTTAAATTTAAATGTTTTATCTGGTAAAATTAAAGTGTTTTATCTGGTAATATCCTGGTTTCATCTGCATTATAAATGTCTTCATCTGTATATTCTCCCCTTAATTTAGGCCACACATCTCTTAAGCAGTTTTCAATGTCTAGTAAATTTATACTTTTCTATAAATTTTAATTTATAAAAAAGTATAAATTTAATTTTTTAATTTATTACTTTTATTATTTTTTAACTTATTATTAATTTATACTTTTTTGTAAATTTACATCCATTAGAACATTTAAAGTTAGTATCGCCTAGTAGTCGTCCAAATTCTTCTGCTTTTTCCAGTAGTATCAGTCCATTTAGTGCTAAGTCGGAACTTCTGCATTGGTTAAACCACTTAATTACAGTGGCATCAATATTGGCTTTTTCATATAACTTAATTTTTTTCTATGTATTTGTAGCTAGAACTATTTTAAGATGACCAAGACAAAACCTTTCTCATTTGTTTCTAGCCATTTATAGATGAGTATGAATGTTTTCAGCCTTCTTCAGGTACACTGTGTTCTGTTAGAGCATTGGTTGGTAGAAATTTAAACGATGTCAATGTTTACATAGGTATCATCTTATTAGTGACGTCATCGTTGATGATAAGATATAGACGATACTAAGGGCGTTAAAGTTTTTCTTTCGGTAAAAATGAAAGGTGTGTGGATAGTTCATGATGGGATAATCGCTAAAGTTGGGAAATAAAATTGGAAAATAACTGTGCAATGTAAAGAAGATGCACTATCACGATGGGGGTTAATGGGGAGTGACATCATAGTTGATAACAGAGCATAGACGATGTTAAATAACTTATGATATAATAAGAAAAGGCGTGCGAACGACCATAGATGGAAAAGGTGCTATGCTTGTAAAGCAGAATTGGAAAAATAAACGCGACAAGTAAAAAAGCGCTAATGGTTGCACGAGGCGAGGGTGTGCTGGACTGTTTAGTTTAAGGGGTTATCGAAGAGTGATTTCCATGTGGAGGAAAGCGAGTCTGCATCTCTGCTGTTGATACAACTGTCTTTGAGGGATTGTTTAAATATTTCAATGGTTTCAACTGTTCTAAGCTTGCTATTGTCATGCATAGGAATAATAATCTTTGCCTCTTCCCATTTGGTCGTTATACTAGGTTCGCTTGCAAACTGGGCTAGGGTGGAAGTGAACTTTTTGTTGTATGCATCGTATTTGTGTTCAGCTATCCTCCTTTTAAGTGATCTATTGGTTGAGCCAATGTATAAGTTTTTTGCACGGGTTAGATCTGCTGTCCTCTTGTGGCCACCCTCGCCTCATGCAACTGTTAGCACTTTTTTACTTGTCGCATTTATTTTTCCAATTCTGCTTTCCAAGTGTAGCACCTTTCCCATCTATGGTCGTTCACACGCCTTTTCTTATTATATCATAAGTTATTTAATGATGTCAGCATTGTCTATGCTCTGTTATCAACTATGACGTCACTCCCCATTAACCCCCTATCGTGATAGTGCATCTTCTTTACGTTGCAGTTTTATTTCCCAACTTTAGCGATTATCCCATCATGAACTATCCACACACCTTTCATTTTTACCAAAAGAAAAACTTTAACACCCTTAGTATTGTCTATACCTTATCATCAATGATGACATCACTAGTAAGACAATACCTATGTAAACATTGACACCATTTAAATTTCTACCAACTGATGCTCTAACAGACCACAGTGTACCTGAAGAAGGCCAAAAACGTTTGTACTCATCTATAAATGGTTAGAAACAAGTGACAAAGGTTTTGTCTTGGTCATCTTAATCTTTTTCACTTGTCCATTGCCAT